AGCACTGCTTGCGTTGGCTGGGGCAGTTGCTGTGTCAGTTTCAAGCTTATTTCACATCCAAGTCATTTACAGGCAGACAGAAAAAGGTTTCAGAACAAGACCCTCAACGCTTTAAGCCCGACAACAGAAAGAGCAGCAACCGCTGCGCCGGTCTTGGGTTTGACCGTGAGCCGGTATACGCCGTCGCCTGCCCGGCACTGAGCTGCGTGGGTCAACAGAACTTCCATGCGCAAGGCATGACTATGTGCACCGATGACTTGTGATCGCATCATTGCAGGATGAACAGTGTTTTTCCAGACTTTCCACACCTTGTCGCGTCAGTCTCGCTGTGAAATCTGCCTGTCAGTTAGCATGAGACGGATGTTGCGTGGAGTATATCCCTGAAGGCATTCATCGATGGTAGCAGGGGACTGGCGGTGCTCCATAGGACCCCAGCATCCAACTTGGGGATGCACCCAGCGAGTTTGCGGTACCGGATAACTCTTTTCCTCCTTGCCAGAAGCTGTTGCCCTTGCTTTGGCCGAACCACTGCCGGTCTCAAGCAGGCAGCGCCGCCCATGGTTTTTCAGAGTTCGTCCTGCCAGGGGGCATCCGGGGGCTGGGACTGAGCCTTGGGGTGCTTGAGGTCATCTCTTGGGGATGACTCAGAGCTGTCAACGAAGTATCTAGAAGTACCAATCCAAGAGCCGTACTTTTACAGCGTACATGCTTGCCTGTTTGCTTTCTCATGGCCTCGGCACTTTTCAGCTGCCGGCTCAAGCTATCTAAGTGTGGAACTGAAGCGAACTTCCCTGCAGCCATGCTGAGAACCGGCGAATCGGTTTCCATCAATCTCAAAGTGCTTGAAGCAGCAAGTGCAAGCCTCTCCGAAGCCACCCCGAAGCTTCAGAGGTGTTTAGTATCGTCGTTGCAACATGGGACAATCTAAGCCATGGAGTGGCTCGGTGGCCCGCCGCGCTTCTGCGAGCCCCGGCGCTCCAGTGCGGCGCGTGCACGGGCCTTGCCCGCATCTGGAAAGGATGAAGGGGAGGAGGCCAGAAACCGTCAGAAGGAGCTGCAGGAGCTCATCGTCGGTGCCGAGAGTGTGGAAAGCATTTTGGCAACGGTGCGGGAGCTCGAAGGTGCCATCGTCATTTCCACGGCGCTGCATCGACTGGGAAAGGTTCCGGTGACTGCAGAGGTCTTCAAGGATCCCCGCTTCCTCTTATTGTTGGAGCGCTTCAGATCACGGCTGCCCTTCTTCGGCTCACGGCAACTCGTCAAGAAGCAGTCCGCCCGCCGAGTTAGGTAGATAGGTGGGTGTGTCCGTAGGTAGGCAGGTCGGTAGGTCGCTGGGTCGGTGGGTCGTGGTGCTATTCGTGCATTTCATGCTGGTCTCCAGCAATGCTGCTCAGCAATGCTTTGTACAGGTGTAAGCGCGCTGTTGGCGCTGCCAACTAACATCTGTGGGTCTATGGGTAGGTCGCTGCATATGTGTGCATCTGCGTCCATGTATTCACGTATGCGGGTGTCTATGCTTATCTATGTGCGAAAACACCGCACTCGGTGATAAGTTGGTCTATCTGTTACTTCTAAACGCTTCTGTGTACATGCATACATACAAGTGCACACATTCTGCATGCACGGACACATGGGTACATGCATACACATAGATGGATAGACAGATAGACAGATAGATGGATAGACACACAGACAGACAGAGTCTTTCGGCTGTGCAGAAGAAGAGGAGAGAGATAGAGAGATCGATCGATGGAAGGATGGAAGGATGGTTGGATGGACGGACGGACGGACGCACGGAGGGATGGATGGATGGATGGATGGATGGATGGATGGAAGGACGGATAGATGGATAGATGGATGGATGGACGGATGGATGGATAGATGGAAGGATCGATAGATGAATCGATAGATGGATACATACATGTCCAAAGGTGTACACGTGCATGCATGTCATTCCGACACAATGCCCGTTCTTGGAGATTGTGTGCGCAGCCGAGTCGCCATAGGCCGTAGTTGAAGACTTATATGGCACGAGGCAGATCGCCAACTCCTTGCACGGGCTCGGGGTAGTCTGCTACCGTGGTGGAGGCGCCTGGGTTGAGATGGTTTCGGTTCAAACACAGCGGCGGATCCATGAGTTCGAGCCACAACATGTGTCCAATACACTTTGGGCTTGTGCGCGTATGCAGTTGCAAGAGCCACTGATGCTCCGGGCACTAACATCGCGGGCCATTGAAGATATTCAGCGCTTCTGTCCGCTGGACATCTCAATCTGCACCTGGGCCTTCGCAACCATGAAGCGCCGTGAGCCTGAGTGGCTCCGTGCCGTGGTCCGCGCACGCTGTGAGTTCGGCGACTTCTCGCCTCAAAACATGTCGAACTTTGTGTGGGGACTGAGCACGCTAGGTTTCCGGAATGACAATATGGTGCTCGCTGTCGGACGGGAGGCATCGAAAAAAATCCAGGATTTCATTCCGCAGGAGCTTTCCAATTTCTCCTGGGCTCTGGCCACCATGGACCTCTGCGACAACCTGATGCTGCGGGCCATCGCAGAGGAGGTGGAGAGACGAGGGCCCGAGGTGAACAACTGGGATCCGCAGAGTCTCTCGAACATGATGTGGGCCTATGCAACCCTGGCTCTCAAGGACGATCCGCTCTTCCGACGCCTGCTGGATGCCTCCATCGAGCGCATCCAGGATCATGACACGCAGAATCTGGCCAACAGCAGCTGGGCTGCGGCCATGGTCGGTTTCCGCTGCTCCCGCTGGCTTACGGCGGCTTCCGCCGCTGCCGTTCGGAAGATCCGAGAGTGCCAGACGCTCCACCTGGCGCAGCTCGCCTTCGCCTTCGCGCGCTTCGTCTTCAAAGGCGAGGCCCAGGGCTTCCTCCAGGCGCTCTTGGAGGCCCGGGGCCCGGGGGATCCCGGGGGGGGGGGGGGGGGGGCGGTTTTTTCGGGCGGCATCTGGCCCCGTTCTCTAGGATTCTGTTTAGGACCCTGGCTTTGTGTGGAGGAGACCTTGCGCCGGGTGGAGGAGTTCCCGCCGCAGTCTCTCTTCGATGTGCACGATGCGTTGAGGTTTTTCCAGGTGCTACCCGAGGCGACGAGCATCGAGAGACGCCTCACTTGCTGCTACGAGGAGACGTTGCATCGACTGGAGTCCTTCGCCAGGTTAGCAGCAAATGGCCGGCCTTCGGCGGAGCAGGTGTCGACGTACCAGCGCAACGTGGAGCAAAGCGACATCGTTACCCTCGGTGAATATTGGACCATACAGTTTCTGAAGCACTTTGGTCTCCTGTGTCCCAGCAGTGATCCTTTCATCCCGGATGCCCGGCAGCGGATTTTGGACTTTCGCGCGGAGGAGGCCGCCAAGGATCCGGTGAGTCGCTCCATCTTCCACCGGGCGCAGTGCGCCTGGCAGCTCGGCCTAGGCGCCGTGAACGCGGAGACCTTGGCCGACGGGCTCTTCGAAAGTGGCGAGCCGGTAGCCGGGGCGCCGGCGGGTCATGGCCTTTACGTCTGTCGCCTCCGCCACACTCGCGAAGGGGATGCGGAGGTGCAGGCCTTGTGCGCGGCCCTGGACACCAGTGTTCTCCGAAGTGGCCGGGTGCCTGAAGGCCTCACCTTGAACCTTCACCTCTCGGATGTGCCTTGCGTCTCCTGTTTGGGCTGTACGCTGCAGTTTCAGTTCCGCTTCCCGGGGGTTCTGCGCGTGTCCTTTGACAGGGGGCGGGTGCTCAGCAAGGACTCTGTGCCCATCCCAAGGCCACCACCGCCGCCGTCGAGGAAGGGCAATCCGATCCCTTATGCCCCGATGCCCGATGCGCCACGAGCAGACGGTGTGGATCGTAGCATGATCCGCAAGGAGCTGCCGGACAGGAGTTCCGACACAACTTCGTTCTACCTGAACCCACTCCTTGCATCGCGGAGGCCAAACGGTGCCAGCAAAGGTGGCGAGGAAGCGGTTCCACATAAAATGGTGCGAAGCCGGAACGGCAGCCAGCAAACCTACTATTTTTCCTCTGCGCCGACGTTCTTCGACACTGACGATTATGAGTCCTACTAGATGTTCCACGTGCTCCTCTTGCGCATGATGCAGGAGGCCCCGATTCGGCCAGTTGTGTTCTCGGACATGTCCTCCGCCAGGCCAGGTGGTTCATTGAAGATGTTTTGCCCTGCAGTCTCGGAATGCAGGAGCCGTTTTTCGAGGGCATGCGCCAACACGTGAGCCCTCCACATGCACTGCAGGTCTTCTCGGTGCTCACGACCCAGAAGGAGAGCACTGCGGCCCCAGGAGAAGATGCCTCAGATCCAGCTCGCTCAGCTTCGTCGCTTCCGAGAGGGGGCCCCGGAGCGCCAGAGCGATCCCGGCATGGTGGCAACCGGTGGCGGAAAAAAGATGCTACATGTAGCTGAGCGTTTTTCGAGAAGGTTGGAGAATTGAAATTTTTGGATCGAATCTATTCGCTGGTTTGCGTAGTTCCGGATTAAAAAAAATTGTCCCAGCGTTGCTGTAGACTCACAGTAGACAGCGCAATACCAGCTGAAGCACGCAGCAGGGCCGCCACTCATTTTCGTTCATCCAGAGCTGAAGCATGACTTTCCAAGCCTTATGCATAACTGCGCACAGCCTGATCACCATCCCTCTTCTTGCTTGAAACGTTGGTCAAGGCGAACATTCGAGCCCCATTCAATCTGATGCAGTTTTGCAGTGCGTCGACGGCATCGTAGGCACCGATCTGGGAAAGCCAGTTGCGGACGCGAGCGGTTTCTGGCCAGGTCGACATCCGCAAGGCGCGGCAGAGGCGGTGGCGACTCGCCAGAGTCCGGGAGCCCGGAGCCCAGGCGTCTGAGTCTCAGTGCTCCTCCTTTGGCGCGCCGTGCGGTGTGGGCCCGCAGAGCCATGATATCCTCCTCTCCTCTGCAGCACGATGCGGCTTGAGCGCATGTTTAGTCTTGCGAGAGTCCTGGGGGGTTGAAGCTTCTCTGGTGCAAAAACGCCATGCTTGCCCTGAGCACGCCCATGTGCCTGTGGTGGTGGGCCGGGACACTCGGCCTGATCTGTGTCATGCTCAATATGATTCAGACGGGCTTCGAGGTCGCAAAATGTCCGCCCTTCCTGACATTTGCACTCTGTGGAATCTGTGCTTCAGACATGATTTGGCTTGCAACCAACCTGGGCTTCGAAGTCTTGGGGGGAGAGATGGAGCGCTGGAGGATTACACCGGATCCCAAGCAGCAGCATGCAAGGACATACGAGTATGCCCTGCAGCAGATCAAGTCAAAATTCGCAGGCTCCTGGCTGGATGTGTGCATTTTCACAGGCGTTTGGTTCGGCAGCAATCTGTCCTTCAACTGCCAAGGCAGCCTTCTGCGTTCAGTGGTCGGATTCCTGCTGATGCTCTGCTTGCTGGACTTTGGTCTGTCATTGTGGCACTTCATTTTGCACCTGCCATGCATGTACAAGTACCACAAGATGCACCACTCGGTTCAAAATACGCAGCCATGGACGAACGAAGTGGAGCATCCGGTCGAGGCGCTGGGCAACGCCGCGGTGAAGCACGGCAGCGTTGTCTTGGTGTCCAGCTGTTTTGAGCTGAGCCCCAACGTCGCCCTGGCTTACTTCATGTTCGCGACTTGGTACGGTGTCATGGTTCATTCTGGCTACAATCCGCCACCCTTTGATTGGATTCAGGGGGTGCCAGCCTGCAGGTTCATCATAACTCCCAAGCACCACCAGGACCACCACTCGAATGGCGCAAGGAACCTTGGAGCTATCACGTCGATTTGGGAGACGCTCTTCCGGAAAGCCATGTCCAGGGCACCTGGCAAGAGCGCCGAGGCCACCCCGCCCGGCCGCATGGGAAAGACCTGGAAGCTTGCGAGCCTCCGTGACATCAGCGATGATCAGCTCGCAGATTTGGTCCAAGCAGTCCGCGAACATGGGGTGATCGTGATCCCAAGCCAATCCTGGAGCCTCGAGGAGCAGGAGGCGTTCACTTCGCGCTTGGGGGAGGTCACCGCCACTGTCGTAGGCCAGGCTCCGGATTATTTCGAGGTTCACCCGAGGGTTGTTCGGCTGTCGAACTTCCGTGCCGATGGCACCTGGAAGGGTGCAAGGTATCAGGGGGCCGAGGTGTGGCACCAAGACGGTGACTACATGCGGATGTCGGAGCGACACATCCTCACCGTCCTGTGCGCGGACAAGATTCCCAAGAAAGGAGGCGGCACCGGCTTCGTGGACCTGGTCGCCGCTGCTGCAGCCCTGCCGCCCTCATTGCGGGCCAAGGCGAGAGGCCTAAGTTGCTTCACCTCGGCTCGGCGGAATGCCGCGTATATGAAGAGAGACTTCACCGCTGAAGATGCAGAAAGGTATCCGGACCAGCGTACGCCCGTGCTTCACCGACACCCTCGTGACGGGCGGGAGCTGCTTCTGATGGGTTCGGAGCTGTCAGTCTTCGAGGATCAGGAGCATCAGCCAGATGTGGAGACGACCCAGTCACTGTTCAAGCACGCCCTGTCTCCCCAGTGGATGTACTTCCATCAGTACAGGCCAGGTGATGTGATCATCTGGGACAACTTGCAAACCCTTCACAAAGCCATGCCCTTTGTCAACGACGGGTCGGATTGCCGACTTCTCTGGCGCGCTCAGGCGCGGGTGACTGAGGCCTTCCAATGGTGATGTGGCGCCATTTGCCGCGCTTTTGTGCCTTTGCCTCCGTTTGCGACACTTGTAAAGTGTGAAGCCGGATCGTCGTACCGGAGTTTTGTGACGGCACAGCATGCGTGAAAATCATGAGCATGCTCTTTCGCTGTACAGCGCAGCAGCTGCGCGAGCTGCAAATGGGCTAGTCGCCCTGCATTTGGAATTTTACAGCAAGCGCGGCTGCATGCGACGATGGTTCTTGCTGCAACACACGGCAAGGTTAAGTCTCGGCTTGATCTTTGGTGTACAGTTCAGCAACCGCACCAGCTGCAAACGGGTCTAAGTACTGCCCACAACCCAATTTACAGTGCACGCACGGGTGCATGCGACGAGGGTTCGCGCGAAACGCTCACGGTAAGGCTGAGTTTCGGCAGAGCCTAACTGCCAAAGATACGCCGCACAGGTCGCGATCCATGCATTCCTTGTCGACGACAAGTGGCACCACAAATCAGGCTGCCAAGCATCATCACCCATAAAAAACAGAGGGTATAAGGTTTCTGGCTATGCGGGAATCGCAAAGGGTCTCTTGGACGGACCGAATGTGGGTGATGTTGCCTTTTGCGCGCGCCTCGGGGGAGCACGCAGCATTCGCTCTCCTCTTAGCCGAAGAAGCGAGAAGCCGCCGCTCCGCCCAAAAAGGGGGGGGGTCAGCTCTGCTGCATGCTGCAGAACATCTCGGGGCTGGGGGATGTGTCGGTTGTGTTGCTGTTCCGAGGCCTTCGAAGATCTTCAAGGCCTCCCTCGAGCCGCTCTTTTTGTTGAGTTGGGCTTTTGCCACTCTGCAGAGCCTGCGTCCAATCGTGTAGGTGATTCATGTAAGCTGCGGGTACTGGGACATGTGTCCAGACATGGGATCTTAGCGGCCGTAGGAGTACGACGCAGCCTCAGCCTTCGAACGCTGCACATGACTTCTTTACGCTACCTCTCGTGGTAGCATCCCGGAGTCTTGATGGGCTGAAAGATCTGGCTCAACTTTCACAGCCAGGCTTGGGCCAGATAGAGTAGGCGGAAGAGGCCATGTCCGCAATCTCAGAGGCCCAGGAAGCTGCAGCAAGGCGAATCTTCAATCGGAGGCTCTACGTGATCGGGGCCATGAGGCTCATTGACAGCATGAACGTGAACATGATCATGCCCTATGGACTCGAAATGGTATCGATGTTTCTCAATAAGGCAAGAGACAGTCCTGAATCGGCCACAGCCTACGCATGGCTCGTTGGGCTTTACTCGCTCTTCGAGATCGTTTTCTCGCCATTTTGGGGCGTGGCGGCGGACGTCGTCGGCAGAAGGCCTATCCTCCTTATCGGTATTGCCGGGACCGCGATTGCGCCTGTTCTTCTCGGCGTGGGGCAGTCTTTGACAGCCGTCTTGCTGTTCCGTGCCCTTGGTGGCTTCTTCTGCGGCAACCAAGCGATCTTGCGAACCTACCTTGGCGAGATTGCCAACAAGACCAACGAGGCACGTGCCTTCGGGTTTCTGGTGCTCTGCTTTGTGCTGGGCCTCATTGCAGGGCCGTTCCTAGGTGGCTTGGCATTCCCTGCACAGTGGGCACCTGAACTGTTTACCGGGACAGTCTTCGAGCACTATCCCGTCCTTTTCCCGAACCTCTTGTTTGGAATCTTCACAGCGATTGTTTGCATCATCGGCTACATCTGCCTCGAGGAGACGCTGACCGAGGGCAAGCGGAGCATCTGTGGGCAGAAGCACGAGGCTGGCGAGGCTGGCGACGTGGAGTTGGCAGACACGCCATGCACGGCTGACACCAAGCGCTGCTATCCACTGCATGTGCTCCAAGCGATCCTGGCATTCTGCGGGGTAACAGGCGCCGTAGAGGCACAGAACACCTTGGTCATTCTGCTTTGGCAGTACCCCGTGTCTGCGGGAGGCTTTGGGTTTAGCCCGCAGCAGGTCTCGATTGTCCAAATCTCAGGCGGTCTTGGTCCGATCCTCTGTCACCTGACGTTCTTCCAGAAATTGGCTAAGAAGTTGGGCTTGTTGAACATCCTTGCGTTGGGCTTTGTCCTCAACAGCCTGTCTTACGGTCTTTATCCTCTCTATGCTCTCGTTGCCGATCCGGCGAAGTATGGCCTCTGGCGATTCGTCGTCTTGGGCCTCGCCGAGTTCACGGGCATGATCGGGACGTTTCTGCTATTCTCTTCTGTCTTTGTCTTCGTGAACCGTGCATCAGAAGGTCTGAATCGTGCGACGGTGAACGGCTGGGCGAACTCCGGGCGCGCACTGAGCCGTGCGATCGCTCCATTCTTTGCTTCCCAGCTCCTGCGGGCTGCAGAAGTGGTTGGGCCGTTTGGACGGTATCTCTCCTTTTACATCACGACGGCCTCTTTGGGACTTTGCTTCGCCATCTCATGGACAGGGCTGCGCAAGCTGACATGAGATGGCGAATAGACCGAGGCTCTGAGCGACCAGCTCGGCTGAGCTCTGAGCCCACCGGTACAAGTACACTGTGAGAAGATCGGCTCCGCAGCAAGCAGAGGATCACTTTGGCTCTGAGTTGGCGGTGTTCAGCCCTTTGTAAAGCTCGGCAGCCTCTTGTAAAGTCGTGTACGCTGCTGCGCTTGCCGGTCAGCTCCGTGAATAGGAAGTACTGTACAGATTGGGGGTCGCGCAAGTCGCGCAAAGTTTCACCGCTGCAATGTGCACCCCTTGGCAAAATGCAGTTCCGACTTGGTGATCTGGCATTGCAGGCGCTTCCTGGGCACGAGCTATCACTGCCTAACCTAACGACTCAATGAGACATGGCTCGCTGTCCTTAACCGTTCTGAGCCCTGGACACCAACGCGCCGCGAGGCAGCACGACCGCACGCAGGCTTCTGTGAGGTGCAGCATCGGTGCGCGTTCCGTTTTTGTGTTTTCTGCGTCGTAGACAGCTACGTATCGATTCTAAGACGATTCTTCGCAGTAGTGGATGTATTTTGGTGACATCTCATCCATGCACAGTGTCTTTGAGACTGGCTCGACGAGGCGGGATGCACTGGCCCAGCCCCTGAACTCACCCCAATGTGGTGAAGCAAGTGCGTTGAAAAGAAAGGGACAAGGCCGAGAAGTCCGGAGAAACATGAAGACTCCACAAGGAGGTGAGCGAGCGCATGAGCTTGAAAAGTTGGCTCTCAGAGCTCGGATCACGTTAGGCCAATGCACCAGCGAATCAACACGGATTTGAAGCCAGCAGTACATTGCAGACATCTTCGTTCTCTTCGAGCGTTTCTTTCGGGTGGACCTCAACTTGCAATGTCTGCTGTCTGCTGACTTACTAGCGGCTAGCAGGTGACATCAAGGCACACTTGGGCCATCGCTCGAGGGAGTTCTCTTAACTCTTGACATGAACATGATGAGCAGCAGCCCTTGAAAGCCAAGCGTTGCAACGCCTGTGTCCCATGGCGTTCTCTTGTCGGCTGAGGGCGCCCTTGGCCGTAGTTGCCCGAGGGACCGCAGTCTCGAGCTGCATGCACATGTGTTGATGGAGAGGCGGATGGATGGCTGTGGGCGTTCGTTGTGAGTTCACATCATTTGTGCGAACTAGCTTTTGCGATGAGGCTTGGAGCAATGCGCGACCCCTTTTTGGGGCGCGGCAGGCGGAGAGGCAATTGCATGGTGTCGGGTTCCGGGACTTGCTACCTTCTCATCACAGGAACAGGGACAGGTTAGTATTGGAGTTCCGTTCTGCGAGGATCGCACCAAAGCCAGAGCATCGGGGACGGACAATTGTCAGGCTTGCTGTTCCTTGCACTTGTTTACAACATCAATCGCCAAGGTGTTCAATGCCCCATGACACTAGAGAGTCTTTCGGAACAGAACTACAATGCGCCGAAGGGACTAGCCTCAGCAAAAGACCTCGACCAAAACTACGCTGGTTCAACAGTTCAACCCAATACCGCACCCAACAGGAGTGTTCTCCCTCGCAGAACACTACTCCTCGCTGCAGGCAATCCTTCAGCAACAGTGCGAATTCTGCTGGACCGTCTGCCGGAGAGAGGGCGGCAAGCTCAGTTTCCCACGATGGCCCGTCCGGGACGTTCGTTGCAGCTCGTTGGTGCTTGCCAGGCAAAGAAAGCCCAGGAACTCTGGAGCATGATGGCTCGATGCCCAGTGAGAGAACGAGAGAGCGTTGGCGGCTTTTGCCTCACTCGTGCCCTTGTGCCAGTCTGAGAAGAGGAGGGAGCAGGCAAGTGCTGCCACCGTCGATACTTGCAGATCACAAGCCGAGTCCAGACAACGCCTACTTTTTTTTTTCCTTCGAAGCACTGCTTTGCAGAAGGCGGTGGAAATCTGTGTTGTTGAGCCGCGGTGCTGAGGTCCCGGAGCAGCACTGGGACTTCCGTGAACGGATCTGAGAATTCGAAGCAGCATGCAGTAGGGCAGTAGGACTCAGTAGGGTTTGATGTGTCCGTCCATCACATGACATGGTTCCGCGCCAAGAGCCCGATGATCCCGACGCTGATCCTGGCCGTCGTGTTCTTGCAGTTTCTGATCAGGCTGTGACCTGGGTGCTGTGTGAATGCTTTGTTTGCCTTTCGGATACACTGCAAGTGGTGCTGCCCAGAAACATTCATTGAGAGTTGCACGAGTCTCGCAAGTGATGGCACCCTCTGCCTCCTGCGCAGTCAGAAGCAGTCAGACGTGGCGGAGTCCCTCCGGCCTCGCTTGCAAGATCTGGTTCCGTCAGCTTGCAGAGGTGATCGTCCCACCCCCGTCTGTTTGAAGTCTGTGTTCGAAGCTATTCCACCAAGAAGCCCCCTCCAAGGCCTACAGAAGCTCGAACGGGCCTCCCTGCACCTGCCAGGAAGGAGAGGGAGGAGGTGCGCCTCCTGCAAGACGAGCGGAGGGCGCGGCGCGCCGCCACAGAGAAAGCTTTGGAGGAGTAAAGAAAAGCCTGTGCGGAGCATGCGGCTTGCAGTGACATGGTGTTTGGAGGGAAGCATCCGAGTTAGGACCCGGCTTCCGCACCCTCGGCCACCGGT